ACATTGCAGATACGTAGCAAATGCATATAGCAAGAGGATCACAATAGTGAAAAGAAAGAAGTGGGGATGGCGTTAATTCTTGATGATTGATGATATAACAGAGAGATTAACTGGACAGTAGGCGAATTTTAGAGTAGAAGTGAGGAAAAGAAAGAAAAAGAAAAAGAAAAGAAAGAAAGAGAAGAAGAAGGAATAAACGAAAGAAGGAAAACCGAAAGATTCGAGAGATCGTAATGCACAAGCAATAAATGAGAAGGGTTGTTGTTGATGGTAAAGGGAAGGGCAGATCTTGCGGGCCATAATGGGAATAGAGAAAGCCGGAGCTTTTGGGCTTCATCCTTATTTCGTTTCTTTCTTTCTTTCTTTCTTTCTCTGTTAATTTGATTTTCTAAAATTATTGTATGCTATGCCTCGGCAATTACTTGAAGCATTGGCGTTTACATCAATAAGCTTAGGCACCAACAACAACAACCAATAAAAACAAATGAAAAAAAAAATGAAGAAATTGGGGCCTTAAAGAGATGCGAGCTGCATGAAAATTTATTATGGCGGAAAAAAAAAAAATATTTCGATAATGATTTTAAGGTAAAATGATAAATTATTTAAATTTTAGAGAATAGATGTAAAGGAAATATTAATTTTTTTTTATATTAATATTAAGTATATTAATATAATGGGCAAATGGAGAGCTATAAAGTTGATAATTATGAGAATTGAGCAGTGGTTGGTTGCTTAATGCATGAACGCAGCTTAAATCATGGACCCAGGGCCTAGCTATATTAATCGCCAAAATTAGTACTCTTTTAAATTTATATTTTATGCATTTTAATTGATTTCCATTTTTCATTTCTAAACCTCCTCACACCACACGCATAGCACCAAAATTGTGAACCAAAAATTCAATTATGACCAGATTGTTCGCACATGAATCAAATTAATTTCAATGTCCTGAATTTAATTTTATAAATGGGGCAGCCAAATTAATTAAGTTTTAAAAGGCAAAGACTTGGGATTTATTTATTAATTTAAATTTGCGTCTAGTTGCATTGTTTCTTTTTTTTTTTTTCTTTTAATGGCAATATTTAAGCTTTCTTTTACTAGCTTAGTTTGAGTTGAAACATTCCACGATCAAAAGGAATCATATAATTATGTGTATATATAGTATAGTATATATATATAATATATTATATATAGATAAATATGCCAGCCAACGAATTCCTTATGTGATATACATTTCCTAATTCGAAATATGGAATCTTTTGATAAATATATTAAAAAAAATTGGTAATTAAAATTTAAAAATCATCGCTACAATAAAAGAAAAATAAATTTTAATTCCAAACTAATCAACGTCGGGTATATCAATTCTTTATTTTTAGTTGCTCTATTTATAATTAAATTCATATTAATTTTGAAAAGTAATAAATCTTTTAAAATAATTATTTCTCGTGTGATTTTAGGTATACTTTTTTTCTTTTAATATTTTTTATAATTTGGAATATGATATATAATGTTGTTTTATTTATTTTTACACTTTTGAATATAAGAAAAATAATAAACAATATTAGAAGTAATGATTATGAAGCGGCTTGAACATACTTGAACTTGAAATTAAAGCACACAAAGAGCAAATGGAAGCACAAAAAAAAAAAAAAAAAAAAAAAAAAAAAAAAAAAAAAAAAAAAAAAAGTAAAAAAAAAAAAAAAAAAAAAAAAAATCTAAAATGGGGTCGATTGACATATAGTAGACCTAATAATATCCTATTAAACATTGTAATTAATACGTGACAGGCATGCAGTACCATTAAATTGGTCAAAATTTTACACGACCCATATGATTATTAGGAACTAAGAGAACAATTTCATACTACTAAATATTTAATTGTATAAAGTTTGGTGGAATTGTAACTTACTCTTATTAAAAAATGTATGTAAAGGACACAATTAATGTAATTTAGTAATGGATTAGTATTTTATTATTAAAGGGATTATTATGTAATAGATAAGTTAAGATTATAGTAATTAACAATGTAGTTAAATTAGGGTTTATGAGGATGAGGATCGTTCCTTTCCTCCGTACGGTGGGTGGAGAAGTTGGGTGCAATGATGGGAAGAATAGTGTTGGTGGGCATCAAGTGACGAAGAGAGTTTAAAAAGACAAACCTATCTGCCTACGACTTGATCCTTTCTTGCTTTTTTTTTTTTTTGTTTTTTTTCCATTGACAACCCATCTATCAATCATAATCATAATATTCTCAACACTCGTATTATAGAAATAATTTGATGATAAATATAAATAATTTATTATATTAGTTTAATGATTAATTTATTTAGATAAAATATAAATATAAGTTGGAATTCTTATTCATTAATTGCTTAAGAAAAAATCCTTAACGTTCATATTTTTGAATTGATCATTATTCTGTAATCCTTTTTCCTTGGAATGGAGTTGCATTGCTTCCTATTATTACTTGTCTTTTTTTTTTTTTTTTTTACATTGTTCTTTTTTTTTTTTTTTTTTAATGTTTTTTTTTTTTTTTTTTTTAATGTTAAAAATTTTTGAAGTAAAAAAAATTGTGATTCTTATGTTATAAAATAGAGTAAATTCGATAATTTAGTAACCAGCACGTTTGACTGTCTCCTTAATTAACATTCAATAAGTAATTAAGGGGGATAATTGTTTTAAAATTTCCTTTTTAGTTTCATTATGTAGGATATAATTTTTATGTGTACAATAAAATTGAAGGATTTAATGTCAAAACTTAAACATGGAATTTTCCAGTGGGATTTTAACTTGGTATCTTAAATTGAGACACCGAGACTCAAAAATTTCGAGACGCACTTTATCCTTATTGGGTATTTATGATAAATTTAGAAAAACTACTTCTATTATTAGTTCCAAACTAGTATTATTTTGACCATAAATTCTTCTATACATTAAATTAGAAATTTCAAACACCAAGGTATAACTTAATCTTAATAATAAGTGCATATATAACATGACAATAGATTCAAGTTCAAATCTCACTTTCTCCAATACTAAAAAAAAAAAATTAAAAAAATTTTTATTTAGAATTTCATGCATTTGAAGTCTCAATTCATAAAATTATTAATTCTACGAGAACTATATAACTATATAACTATATATATATATATATATATATATAACTATTATTATAAATTATTATATATATATATATATTAATAGATAGATGACAGACGAGAGGAGAGAGAGAGAGAAGAACCGAGAGAGATGAGAGAGAGGAAGAGAGACGAGGGAGCGTGTGAGGTTTGTTTTCCTGCTTAGTGAAATTACGTGAACAGCCGCGCAGTGAACATTATTGCAGGCAAGTCTTTTATTGGTCAACCGACAGAGAGAGAGAGAGAGAGAGAGAGAGAGAGAGCGTGTGAGGTTTGTTTTCCTGCTTAGTGAAATTAGTGAACAGCGCGCAGTGAACATTATTGCAGGCAAGTCTTTTATGGTCACCGACTGAGGTTCTATTTATGATTGGTATTCATTTTATTATTATTGAATAATTGAATGATACCATTTTTGTTCGTTAGAATTCAGTTATGGATCCTTTTTGACGTATCATGAGGTGGTGGTGATGCTATTGCTAGCTACACTGGTGGTTGTTGCATCTTGTTTAATACTTTCCTTGTCCTTTCCTATAACTAGACAACAGTTTTCTTCCTCCTTTTATCATCATATCATCCATACAAAAATCAAAAGAATCCTGCAAATGGGCATGCTCTGGACCATTCTTTTTAAACTAATTTACTGCCCCATCCAATAATATTTTTAAATCATATCTACTTCCATCGTATTCATCTATACAAAAATGAAAAGAAATTACTAACAGATGATCAGAAATTACCGTGAGATAATTATTATTTTTTGGGTTTTTGCATTGGATCTGTTTATGGTCCAGAGAGTATAATTACAAGACGTCCAGCCTTAGAAAACTTTAACATAAACCTACAAAACTGGAAAAAGATAAAAAAACAAAAGGCCCTGATTTTCATAAGAGAAAACGACATTCAAACTCAAAGCAGAGAAGAAAAATATTAGCATTATAACTTGTTTATTTTTCCTCTTTAAATTTTAGCAAAGCCAAAGCTACAGAGAAATGGTCCGCTTCCTTACACTTTTGCTTTCTATCAGATACAAGACAAAGGTCTTCAATGTCTGCGATCCCGAGGCAAGTTCCCATTTAGATCGTTTTGGAGTTTCACCACTTTTTCATTTTTTTTTTTTTTTTTTAAAGTAATAATATGTAGAACATGTAAATCACTTTTAGATATTGTTGTTGCGTATATCAGAAGTAGATGAATCAATTATTTAACTATTTCATTAACAGCTATACTTACACACCCCACCAGCTGCATTAATTCATCGAGTTCCAATTTCTAAGTTTCAGGGTTCAGACTTCCATCTTCTATCTATTACTGAAGAAGGCTTGACTTTTATAACCAACGCTTGATTTTTATAACAAAAAAGAGAAAACAGCTTGACTTTCTTATTAGGTTTTTAAGATTTATTTATTTTTGAGTTATATAATTAGAGGATATTTAGATTGATTTATAATTAAATTAATCAAACTTACCTTTAACTCAAAAATCATAAATAGAATTCAGCTTTTTTTTATATATTATAGTTAGGAGACCTTTCATAAAAAATACCGAACCATATTATCATAGTTCAAATTGTTATATTTGGCTTTGGCTTTAGGTTTTTAGGATATACCGTCCAATATTTAGCTTGCATATGTATTTATATAGAGAAATAATTCCATTCAAAAAAATATTTGGACCGACATATTTGTATTATTGTTTTGACAAATAACATCAATTGGCTATTACTGATTCTCATGTTTGCATTAAAAATGCCGCCCAAAATTTTTTGGCCTCTACTTAAGCCCTTTATAAGCAACGATTAGATCCTTCCTTAAGCTTCCCCTCTTTTCCTGCTCTAGCTAGCCAAGGTAAATTTAAGACACCATGATTGTTGCATGCAACAGCCAGCCAAAGAAGTCCAATCTTTTTAGCCCCAGGCAGTCTCCGGCAGCGAGTCCCCTGCCGAATCAGGAAAAGCCGCCAGCGTCCACCGCACAGTCAAAAGGAAGAATCTGCCGGAGTCTTAATGACTGCCTGCCTATGGGGTCTGTAATTTCAACAAGTCAAAATCAACACCATCCTTCTAAATTAGAGCAACAGGTAGACTTTGGACCATAAATTATTTTACTCCTAATCTTACATAGTTATATAACGTGAGCCTTAGAGGCCCACCAGAACATGGGCCTGATTATTATTTCTGGGCTTTGAAGGTAGCAGACCTTGGAAGAGAAGTGCTAAAGCAGAAAGAACTACGGATTATGTACAGGAAGAGAATGGAGAGAACACATGACTACTTAAAATACTGTCTTCAAGTAGCTCAAGATAATGGATTCTTAGACCTTATAATTCGCAAGAACAAAGATGACGACAATGACCAACCAATAGACATTCTCAGCACCAACGCTAGTCCTCCTCCTTTGTCTTCTCCAATTCACCAACAGCCTGATCTTGCAGCCCTCATTTGCCAAGCCAAAACTAATGGATGGTACATTCATCACGATGAGGTATAATATTACATATATAATTTCGGTTGTATATTTATTCATTTACGGGTATAAATTGATTATATATATTTTTTGTGTCTTTAGAATTATTAGGGTTTAAACCTTGATTTCTTATATTCTTGCAAAAATAAAAGAACCTTGATTTCTTATATTATGAGACAGACACTCGATCATTGAACTACTAATTGATTGAACAGTATTAGTTCAACTTTTGTTGTCATACTTTTAAAATTTTTTATTTTTCAAAAGAGAATTTTAAAACCTTAATAAAGTTCATTAAATTTATATAATTTTAAATTAAAAATATTGTGGGTCAGATTGAGCTACAGCAGAAAATAGGCCAAGGAAGCACAGCAGATATTTACAGAGCGACATGGCGAGGGTTAGACGTTGCAGTGAAATGCATATTTCCAAATTTCTTTCACACAAATGAAAGTGGGGTATCATTTTTTGCTCAAGAATTGGAAACTTTATCCAGGCAACGGCATCGTTTTGTTCTGCAACTAATGGGTGCATGTCTTGATCCACCTGAGCATGCATGGGTGGTGACAGAATTCTTAGGGATGACATTAAAAGAGTGGCTTCATGGACATAGCAGTATTAGGCAAAGAGAGAGATTGATTCCTCTTCCTCCATTAGAAGAAAGGATTGGTAGAGCATTAGAGATTGCTCAAGCAATGCAATACCTCCATGAACAAAAACCTAAGCTCATTCATCGAGACCTTAAGGTTAGCAATATATTTTTGGACGATGCTAACCACGTAAGGGTGGCAGATTTTGGTCACGCTAGGTTCTTGAGCGATGAACAAATGGCGCTTACTGGCGATATTGGTATTATTCAATTTTTTTTCCATCATTTTAAATACAATTAATTAATAATAGAATTGTACTTCAATTTTTAAGCCAAATTAATTATTTTTGTTAAATTTCTCAGGAACGTATGTTTACATGGCACCTGAGGTGATTCGGTTCGAGCCTTATAATGAAAAATGCGACGTATATAGTTTTGGCATCATATTAAATGAGCTTATGGCAGGCAATCATCCATATATTGAAACTGATTTTAGTCCCAGCAAGGTATGTATATTACATAAGAAGATTGAGTGATAAATAAATAAGTATTGAATTAATATATATAAATTTTTTGGTTTGGTTGTTATGAAACTAGATTGCCATGGAAGTTGCAGAAGGAAACCTGAGGCCAGCACTTCCAGAGGACAATGGAGAAATTGGTGAAGTGATTAGTCTGATTTGCCTTTCATGGGATCAAGATCCGTCTGTTAGACCTTCTTTTGCTACAATCACATCTACTCTCAAAAAGATTCAACGGAGAATAATTACGGAAAGCTATAATTATGTGATATGATTTCAATTTTCATCAACATCATGTAATGTCTAATGGATACCTTTATTATATCTGCTTAATTAATTAACGTTAGCACATGGAATTAAATTGCTGTATTTTCATATATTAAACTTTATCATCCATTAAATAATAAAATAAAATGTTTTAAGGAGATAAAACTTTCTATTATATATCTCAACAACTCACTGGAGTCTGGAGAAGATTAGATGCTAAATAATTAGGCACGTGATTGACCCATAATAAAAGAAAATTCATTTGCATTTTATAATAATAAAAATAGATCAGAAAATTAAATCCCTCTTAAAGCGATGATTAACTAGCACTCCCACTGTTCTTTAAGAAGGAATTTATGTTTTTGTTATATCTAATTGTACAATGAAATCACATATTTATACATAAAAAAACTAGAAAGAGAAAACTAAAATCAATGCTAGAATTAAGGCTAGAATCAAGGCTAGAATCAAGGCTACAATCAAGCCAAGAGTCAAGGCTACAATCAAGCCAAGAGTCAAGCCAAATATCAAGCCTAGAGTCAAGCCTAAGATTATGCTAACATGGGATTACATGGTATTAAATATTATGTATGCTAACACCCTCCCTCAAACTCAAGATGGTATAGTGGATGCCAGCTTGAGTTTGCTTAGTAAAGCTTGAAAACGAGCGGGAAGATGAGTTTTAGCGGGGAGGGAATGAGTTTTAGTGAAGATATCGGCCTTTTGATCAACAGAGGATGTAGGGATCAGAAGTATAGTGCCATTGAAGTAACATTGATGACGAACAATAATGATAGTGCCTTGAGTAACATGATGACGAACAAAATGACAATCTATCTCAATGTGTTTTGTGCGTTCATGAAAAACGTCATTGTGAGCAATCTGTATAGCACTTCTATTATCACAATGTAACACAGTAGCAGAAGACTGTGTGACATTCATATCAGATAACAACCAGTGTAACCAAAGTAATTCAGATGTAGCATCAGCAATGACACGATACTCAAATTCAGTGCTAGAATGAGCAACAACTGTTTGCTTTTTGCTACGCCAAGAGATAAGAGAATCGCCCAGAAAAAAACAATAACCAGTAGTAGAACGACGATCTGTGGGATCATCAGCCCAGTCAGCATCAGAATACCTAGACAATACCAAAGAGGAGTGTGCAGAGAAATGTAAACCATGAAAGAGAGTGCCTTTAATATATCGAAGAATTCGAAGTACTGCAGAAAAATGTGATGAACGAGGGGCTGAACGAGGGGCAGACCATGAATTGACTAAACCAACATGAAAACAGCATATGAAGAGATCAAAGGTCGAGGTCACAGTAGATTAAACCAAGACTACCAACAAGTTGCCGATTATAAACGTATGAACATCGAGGAGGAGTGCCATCGAGTCAGGAGTAAGCTTGCCAATTGGTAGTTTCCCAAAGGAGTTCTTGATATAGTCTTAACTGTCAATTAATTGCCAGCTTGAGAAGAGAGTACATCAGATTGCCATTATTTTGCTTGAGAAAGATAGTAGCGGTCAGCAAGTTATGAGAAACCTGCTATAGAACTAGAAATGCTGAGAGAGCCAAGGTCCTTCATTTACGATAATGGCGGCTGCAGATTATCGTGTGTAATTTTTGAGATGACCCAGAGGCATCATCACCTGTTATTATCATGATCGATCAACATTAAAGCAGGAGAAAGAACAATACCATGTTCAGTCCGACAACGAATCAACACAACACTCCATGAACAGCAGAATCATAAGCGACGTAGCAGGCAAAACCAAGCTTTGAGCAAGAGTGGAAATAAACGACGAATGAACAATGCAGAATCATAAGGACTAGAGGCAAAACCAAGTTGAGCAAGAGTGGAACTAAATTTGGCGAACCAGGCCCTAGGAGCTTGTTTTAAACCATACAAGGCTCGTCGGAGCTTACAGACTTTAGAATGAGAATCATAACTAGGGGGAGGATGCATATAAACTTCATCGGATAAATCACCATGAAGGAAAGCATTTTTGACATCCATCTGGAAAAGTGTCCAGTGACGAACCGCAGTTATAGCTAATAGAGTACGAATAGATGTTAATCGAGCCACTGGAGCAAAGGTTTCTTCGTAGTCTATACCATATTCTTGAGTATATCCTTTGGCTACTAAACGAGCTTTATAACGCTCAATAGACCCATCAGAACGAATCTTAATTTTATAAATCCATTTGCAGCCAATAGGTGTCTTATCAGGAGGAAGATCAACTAAGTCCCAAGTATGAGTGTTTCTAAAGCTTGGAGTTCCTCAGTCATAGCTTGCTGCCAATGAGGGTTAGTACTTGCCTCACGATAAGAGTGAGGCTCATGAAGAGTGGCAATAGTAGAATAACAATGACAATCTTTAAGGTGATGTGGAATTTCTCTTACCCGGGTAGAACGACGAAGATTGGTGTCAAGGGCAGGCGTAGGTGCAGGTTCAGGATCAGCAGTTGAAGCAGATTCGATAGGAAGAGGTGGGGAGGGTCGAATGTTGAGTGTATTAGAGTCACTTATATCAGAACTTGGAAACAATTCAATTGAGGGATCAGTGAAAAACATAGAATCAGTATTAACAGATTTATGAAATTTAGAAAGGGTTGAAAACATGGTATTTTCCCAGAAGGTAACATGACGAGAGATACGCAATTTATTTGAAATAGGATCCCAACATTGAATAGACGATCCCCACACGATACCTCTTTTGTGTGTCTATTCACCAATACCCAAGAAAACAACACAACCGTGCGCACGTGTTCCAATTTGGTACGTTTTCAATGGGGTGGCGGTAAAATGGACAAAAAACAGGCACATCCAAAGTTTGAGCGTTACGAAATAGTCCAGGATGGTTTACCAAAAACAAAATTTTTTCAAAGGGTTGATAAATTTTGGAGAGTGTATGAAGGACTCCTATTATACTGGCTTAGACGGCAAGTAAGAGCCGCCTTTCTCCCAAATATTATTTCGTAGACATGAGCCGGCAGAAAGAGAAGAAGCACGGAGACAGAATCAAAGAATCTTGAACCCAGGTGTGCCGTTCAGTGCGTGCTAACACCGCCGCCCAGTCCGGAGAGACCGACGGTGGAAGTCACATTCGGTGTCGGACCGCGGGCACCGTCTTTAACTTACATATTTAAATCATGAATTTAGAAAGTTGATTTAGTATTCACAAGTTTAGCATAGTAGTAACTACTATATTATTTTTTTGAAAATGATTTGGGAGAACCCTACAGAAAAATACTGCAAGAGTTTCCTTAAAAATAGAAGTCGCCGAAACAGTGTGAATACAAAACATTCACCTAAATTCAAACTCACAAGAAACAACACAATAACACTCTAATTTCATAACTTACAACATTTTATTAATGCATCATTTAGATACATTTAGTTTAAGACTGTATTGGCTTTGAATGTTTTACATAAAATAATAAGTTCAAGTTTATCTTCCCAATAAATAAATAAGTTCCAAGTTTATCTTCCAATAACTACACCCAATTAATTTACAATAGTATACTTAAAGTGTAAATTACATAATAAAATCTCCAAAAAATGGACTACTTATACATGTCATAATACTTAGTTACATAAAACACTAATCAACTACCAAAATATCGCTTCAGTTCTGATGCTACTCTTCTGGTCTTCAAACAGCAAATACAGATTTCAACCTACGCGTGATAAAACTCAGTGGTGCTCATAAAACACAACAAACCAATGTTGCGATGGCAACACACTAAAGCAGAAATTTTCAGCAAGAGATTTATAATTATTTTTACAAGGGCTCACATACACTTAGGAGAAAAAGAAGCAGATAGGTTTTCATAACATATTCATAATGGCCTTAGGTCGCCAACCGCCCAACTCTTTCATAACATATAGAGCGCGTCCGCACCTACATAGACACCCACGTGCCATTAGCCACACTGATGATCTAGCTTTCTTATCTAATGGCATCAAAATGACATAACACCGAGCATGCTCATCATACATAATAAAATCAAATCACGCATCTTCATTCACACCAAGTATATATAGAGCCCAAAATCAATTTTTTTTGTTTTATTCTTATTTTTATTTTTGACTTTCCAGTTACCTCATAAACTTTTATTTTCTTGTAGGTTATTCATAAAATTACAATAAAAACTGATTTCAATCTGCACATTCACTTTCATGAAACTTCTCATTATTAAACAAATAATTACCTTAACATTAGGAAAATTTCCAGCATTAAAAGCAATCTTGACCTTTGCCGAGATTCTTTGATACATAACTTGAGTTACTATATCTCCAAATTGAATGAAATTAGATTTGAGTTATATATCTCCAAATTGAATGAAATTAGATTCATTAGAAAGATAAGACACAATTATACAATTGTTATGAAGGAACCATAACCCAGATAAATCTACAAGATAGGCAAAATAAGCTAGGAACACAGACTGATAGTCCAGACCGGATTCAGCAGAACCAAGTCCAATGTTTATTGAATTTCTCCGTAACCAGAAACTCAAATTAAACCAATACAACACCAGGGCAATCTCAAGACACAGGGTAACAAATCTCATGAAGAGCTCAACACCTAATCTTGCCATTATGGCGGTCAAAATAGTCACTCAATCTATTGCTGCATGTGGTACGTTACAACAGAGTCAGTTTAGGTGTTTTAGTCATAAGTTGAGCTATATATATCAAAATTGGGAGGATGGGTTGGGAAATGCCTAAGAGCTTCATCACCTCACATATTGCGTGCCCCGCTCCATCGAAGGAGGTCTCAAATAACCCAGAGGGAAGAATTAAAAACCACGAATGAGAAAAATAGTCGCTTAAACACACCCATTAAACATTTTCCTTTTGGTTAAAATTCCCTGCCCCCACTGTGTTGCGAAGAGAAGAGACAAATAATTTTCTTTCATAAATTCAACATATAAATAGCACTTAGAAAAACACTCAAGAACAACATTTATACATCCCCAAATTCCAAAGCAATG